GTGGGCCACTAGAGCTATTGTATGCTACTTAATCCTCATTGAGGTGTGCTATTTTGCCTATTTTGTGTGACCTGAAAACATTTTGACTCACCCAAGATAAGTCTGTGCAGTGTGTCCCAGCTGCCATGTAAGTTTCTCTGCCATCAGGACCCTATGACCTAGAAGAGTCAAAAGTGATTAAAATGTTAATGAAAGATAGTGATGCTTGAGCCTTTGGCTGGCCCCACTTAGTAAATCAAAACACAGATACATAGGATTTGGGGGCAAAGCTCTGCCATTCTTAACATATACTTACAATTATTTTGAGATGCAGCTTTTGGTTTTGCTAGTGGCTTTAGTGGAGTCAGAGCAATTAATCATGGACTACCAAATTAGCATGTGAGCAGAGATTTCCATCATGAATTGGGTGTTGTTGGCCCCTCCATGTCTTTTTTTAAAATTTTTACTACTACTATTTTTTTTTTTTTGAGACAGAGTCTCACTCTGTTGCCCAGGCTGGGGTGCAGTGACGCGATCTCGGCTCACTGCAAGCTCTGCCTCCCGGGTTCACACCATTCTCTGCCTCAGCCTCCTGAGTAGCTGGGACTACAGGCACCAACCACCACGCCCGGCTAATTTTTTGGGTTTTTTTTTTTTAGTAGAGATGGGGTTTCACCATGTTAGCCAGGATGGTCTCGATCTCCTGACCTCGTGATCCACCTGCTTCAGCCTCCCAAAGTGCTGGGATTACAGGCGTGAGCCACCACGCCTGGACTGGCCCCTCCATGTCTTTAAATTGCACGTGCACATCAGCATTCCATTTGGAACCGGTATACATGAGATTGAGTTTGAGCAGTCCCCGTAGCCTCAGGTAAGTGATTCTAAGCCCATGGTCCCTAATCCTTTTACATTAACTTCAGAATGAGTGAACATGATAAGTTATATGAAATTATTGTTTTAGCAGCAAAATTAAAATGGAATTAATAAAAGTGAACAAAACCTAAGGGACATCGTGGACACCATCAGTTGGACTAATGTATGCATGATAGAAGTTCCAGATGGAGAGAGAGAGTCAGAAAGCTAATTCAAAAATAAATACATAAATAAAAAAAGGCTAAAACCTTCTCAAATTTGAGCAATATGAATCTGCAAATCCGAGAAGCCTAACGGACTTCAAGATGGATTAACCCAGATACACACACTGAAACACCTATAATAAAACTGTTGGAAGCCAAAGACAAAGGAGAACCTTGAAAGTAGCAAAACAGAACTAATTTGTCATGTACAAGGAATCTTCTACAAGATAATGAGTGGATTGTTCAGCAAACCTTTGAAGAGATGATATGTTCTAATATGCAGAAGAAAAAAAGTCTACTGAGGATTCTAAATTCAATGAAACTGTCCTTCAAAAATAGGAGATAAATTAATAATCTGCCAAGAGATATGGTTTGGAACTGTGTCCTCACCCAAATCTCATGTTGAATTGGAGGAGGGACCTGGTGAGAAGTGATTGGATCATGGGCGCACTTTCTAATGGTTTAGCACCATCCCCCTAGTACTGTCTCATGATAGAGTTCTCACAAGATCTGGTTGTTTAAAAGTATGTAGCACTTCCCCCTTCATGTGCTCTCCCTTTCTCTCTCCTGTTCTGCCAAGATAAAGACATGCTTGCTTCCCCTTCATCTTCTGCCATGATTGTAAGTTTCCTGAGGCCTCCCAGTCTTGCTTTCTGTTAAATCTGTGGAACTGTGAGTCAATTAAACTTCTTTTCTTCATAAATTACCCAATCTCAGGTAGTTCTTTATAGGAGTCTGAGAATGGACTAATGCTACGCTATAGGACAACTGTAGTTAACAGTATATTATATTGTTTCAAATATCTAGAAGGAGGACATTGAATGTTCCCAATACAAAGGAATAATAAATGTTTGAGATGATGGATATGCAGATTACCCTGATCTGATCATTGTACATTGTATGTATCAAAACATCATTATATGTCTCATGAGTAGTTATAAGTATTATTTGTCAATAAAATATACTACAATAAAAACTTTAAAGGTGTTAACATCTTAAATAAATAATAATTAAAAATTGAGAAGAGGCCAGGTACAGTGACTCATACCTGTAATCTCAGCACTTTAGAAGACTGAGGCGGGAGAATCGCTTGAGCCCAGGACTCCAAGACCAGCCTTGGCAACATAGCAAGACCTCATTCTAAAAAAAAAATTGAGGAGAACAGACCAAAAAAACTCAACATAGAAGTGAGTAATAGATTTGAACAATTTACAAGAAGAAAAATAATACTGACACAGGAAATATGCAAAAATGTTCCATGTTATTTAAAAAACAAGAAATGTAAATTAAAACTAAATTTAAATACACTTCTTACCATTTAATTGGCAAAACTTAAAAAATGCCGTAATAACACATTTTGTTAGCTAGTTTCAAGGCAAGAGTATATTTATACATTACTTCTGGAAATGGAAATGGTATGAAAAAATTAAGGCAACTTGACAATATGCAACAAATTATATTTCTATTAACATCTTCTCTTTTCAGTCCTGCTTTTTGGGATGTACTCTTCTGATATATCTTCAACAGGGATAATATATACATGTACAAGTGTATTTACTACAGCATTATTTGTAATAATAAAATATTGGAAGTCACGGAAATGCCCATAAATTGGAGCCCTGTTAAACAAACCACTCAATGGAATGTATTCAGTTTTAAAAATAAATTACTCTATATGACGTGATTTCCAAGATGTTATTATGTGAACATAGAAGAGTTAGAAGTGTACTATCTTAACATTTAAGTAAAAAGGGAAAATAAGAAACACATCTATTCTGTTAAAAAAAAGTGATAATGAAAATAATAAAATTAGTTACATAAAAGTGTTAGGTGGCAACACCATGGAAGTGGTTTAGGGGTAGGAGGGAGGGGAGTGGCAGTTCTCTGAGAGTAATATGTGGTAGAGCATTGACTTATGGGAACATGTTAATGACTGACATACCCAATAATATAAAATCAAGAATGAGATTTCTTTGTAGATAAACGAGGAAAGTTAAAATCATAGAATAACAAATTAACCTAAATGTATTTCAAGTCAATGACATAAACAGTCTAAAGGTGAGGGCAAGAAGTAATTTAAGCAACTTATTAAACAGTACAGTATTTGACTATATATCCTCAGTCTAAACACAAAAAGAACTATAAAAAATGTTGAACTCTACTTTTGAGTTATTTTTTACAATGATATGAATTAGTAATTCTGACACTACATGATGCATATGCAATGGTCTTAATGTTTGTGGCCTACCAAAGTTCATATGTTGAAATTGTTACTCTCAATGTGATGGTAATAGGAGGTGGGGCCTTTGGAGGGTGATTAGGTCATGAAGGAAGAACATTCATGAATGGGATGAATACCCTTATAAAAAATGCCACAAGGAGCTTGTTTGTCGCTTCAACCAAATGAACACAGCAATATGGTGCTACGTATGAACAAGAAAGTGGCCTTCTACCTGACACAAAATCTGCCAGTGCCTGGATCTTGAATCACAGTTTCCAGATCTGTGAAGAATAGATTTCTGTTGTTTAAAAGCCAGGCAAGCTATGGTATTTTGTGACTAAAAATATTGGTACTGTAACAAATACCTAAAAATGTAGCAGTCTCTTTGGAACTATGTAATGGATAGAGGCTAGAAGAGTTTTTACATGCATGCTAGGAAAAGCCTACAGTGCCGTGAATGGACTGATGAGGACAATTCTGGTTAGGGCTCAGAAATAGAGAATGAAAATGAAAACTGTAGAGAAAGCATCGATCTTGTTAGAGCATACCTAGGTGGTCACGATCAGAATGTTGGTAGAAATATGGACAGTAAAGGCCATTCTGAAGACCTCAGTCAGAAATGTTGAACATGTTACTGGAAGAGAAGAGAGCTTCTTGTTATAAAGAGACGAAGAATTTGACTGAATTATATTCAGGTGCTAGTGTTTCATGGCAGGTAAAATTTGTGAATGATATAATTGAAGATTTATTCGAATTAATGTCTAATCAAAGTGAAGTTGCTGCTTGAATAATCTTGACTACCCATAGTAAAAGGCAAGAAGTGAGAAATGACTGAAATAAGTATTAATTAAAAGGGAAACATAACTAAAATTTATAAAAGTTTACAGCCTATCTACTTTGGGAAAAAAAAAAAAAAAAGAAAGGAAACCTGAAGGAAACAAGGGTATGGTTAAGCAACTAATTCATGAAATTAGTATGGATTGGCCATGTCAACTGAAGCCAGGACCTATTGTCCAAGACAATGGAAGAATGACCCCAAAGGCATTTCACAGATTATGGCAGCTTCTTTTCCCATCACAGGCCCAGAGTGCAAGGACCTGGGGGACAGAAAGGGCCTTTGATGCCAGATATACCCTAATATATTAGGCACAGTTTCCTGCCTACTACGATTGAGCGTGTCAATAAATTTTTGTCTCTTGTGGGGGCAGAATAGAGCAAGGATACAGCTGTATGTAACTGGTATAGAAATAGCATTCACTCAATTTTCAGAGAAGTGTTCCTCATACTGCGGTAGTCACTTTATCTAAAGAAAACCATGAAAAGTCTTCTTTTTTAGTTCAGAAAAATAGATATAGAACATGAGACTCCATTATTTTAAAATAAAAATATAGGTTGAAAGGCCAGAATTCACAGGTTCACCTGCCCGAGCCAAAATTCCCACGCCTCCACAGAGCAAATGGACTCCATTTCCCAAGATACACGCGAAACGCCTGCGAGAGTCCAGTTGCCCCGTGAATGCGCGGGAAATTTGACCCCCGCAGGCCTTTCGCGAGTATATTGGGGGGCGTGGGAATTGTGGCTCAGGCAGGAGGACCTATGAATTCTGGGAAGTGGAGTCCATTTGCTCTGTGGAGTCGTGAGAACTTTGGCTCAGGCAGGAGGATTCGGGGAATTCTGGGAAGTGTAGTCCAGACGCTCTATGGCATAGCGGACACTTCCGGTCTCCGAGCAGGACTTTACTACTTTACTTAACAAGGTGGTTCGAGCCAACTCTGTGTCTTGCGGGTCTTTGTGAAAGTGAACCAGTTATTGGGGGGCGCCTAAGGACCTGGGGGTCAACTAAGGGGGCAAGAAGCCCTGGCGAAGACCTGAGGTTTGGAGATGCGGGGGACGAAGGGGGGTTTCGTTGCGGTCGATGGAGCCTTCTGGCGTTGGGGGCTGTACGCATGTCCACCGGAGGAGTTGTCGGGGGTTCGGCGGGCGGGGGAGAACCCTGTCTAGTCTTGTGTGCCTGTTTAGAGGGTTTTCCAGGTCTTTGACCTCGCTCAGTCCGCCTCCACCTTAAGTGTGCAACCTCTTTCTCGCAATATAACGTGGGGTGTTAATCTCCCTGCACCTCCTATTGCCGTTTTTTAAATGAGGATTTTAGGACCGTCCTGATAGAATTGTTTTAGGAGTTGAAAGTTGTGGTATAAAACAAAGCCTTAACAGTCCCTGTCACTTGGTGTCCTGTTAATTTCCCGCGAAGTGGTCAGGGCCCCGGGTGGGGTCAGAGCTCCAGCTGCCCTGGCCCTTCTCTCTGATCCCTGTAGGACGCTGGATGGTCCCTGACGCCTCTGACCTCTTTTTAGGAAGGCGAGGGTTGCATCCACCTTTCACGAAGGGAGGGGAGCATTTAACTTGTATCCGGGACGGCGACGCAGTCAGGGTGTTTCACAGCTTTCTCCTTCCCCATCCTGACCTTTCTAAAAGAACTGCAGGGAGGGATTTGGCTACTGAGGGCAAAGCTCTCTACACGAGTGGTCCTTGGCTTTTTTTCTTTTTAAAACAGTGTTATTTATTTTGTTAGTCTGCTATTATTATTATTATTATTATTATTATTAGAGAACGAGGTTTGCTCTGTCGCCCAGGCTGGAGTGCAGCAGTGGCACGATCTCGGCTCACTGCAACCTCCGCCTCCCGGGTTCAAGCCATTCTCCTGCCTCAGTCTCCCGAGTAGCTGGGATTACAGGCATGCGCCACCATGCCCAGCTAATTTTTGTATTTTTAGTAGAGACGGGGTTTCACCATATTGGCCAGGCTGGTCTCAAACCCTTGGTCCCAAATGTTCCGTCCGCCTCGGCCTCCCAAAGTGCTGGAATTACAGGTGTGAGCCACCGCGCCGAGCCGGTTTTTTTCTTTTACAGAGATGTTCACCTCAACCAAGAGTGTATAGGATGTATCCTTGGGCATGGGTGTTGATAATAATTAAGCCTTAATTGGTAACTTCATTCTAAGGGCTTTATGGCAATAAATACATTTACACCACACCGTGGCTCTGCGAAAAGTTGTTGCTCTTTTCCCCC